CTCATAGATAAGTTTCCTGGCTTTTGTCCTCTCTGCTTACGTGCCTGCTTCATCTTTAGGTTATGGCAGCTTCAGCCCAGTCTCACACTGGGCAATCCTGATAAATCTTTCTTACTTGTATCGTTTTTAATCTAATTACCGTATCAGATGCTTATGTCGCTCAGAATCAATAATGATCAGGGCGGCATATAAGCCCTCCTATAAACATATAAGAAAGCCAGTTTGATGTAGTGGTTAAGGTGCTGGCCTAGGAACCAGGAAACTGTTGAGTTCTAGGCTTCTGTTAAGCATGAAAACTGGCTGGGTGACTTTGGACCAGTCATTTTCTCTCACTCCAGCCCACCTCAAAGGGTTGTCGTTGTGGGGAAAATAAAAGGAGAAAGCATTAGGTATGTTTGCTGCCTTGAACTGCCCAAAATGTATAAAATAAAAATATAGTAAGTAGATAAATAAAATCAGGACATTTCTGTTTGCTCTGAAATTCTTTGTCTGCTCAGCAAAGGCAGGCACTTCTGAGGAAATAGCTACCTCTGGCTCTTCCCACAAGCCAAGCTTGTCCGCCGAGAAGAGTGATCCAAAACACAAAGACTGTTTGCTGCGGGAATTCAGGAAGCTGTGTGCGATGGTGGCTGACAAATCCAGTTACAATGTCAAAACTCAGATAATTCAGGACTTTTTGCAGAAGGGAAGCAGTGGAGGTACAACCTATTTCTCTTTGTTTTCATTGGCAGGCGCACTCAGGTCTGGGCAGAGGCAACTCAAATGGGGGATAAACATAATGTTTATTATAATTTAATAGCAATGTATTGTGTGTGTGTGTGATTTATTATAATACTAAGGATAAGAGATGCCCTGGGGGAGGGCACTAGGAGTGGGGGGAGTAGCAGGATCTCTATTGATAAAAGCACTGAAATAGCACAATACTAAGAAAGGCACAGGATCACCTAGCAGATGTTGACCTGGGGAGGGAGGTGTCTGTTATCCCTAATGGTTAGCATTATTCTTCTCATCAAATGCAGCCTAGAACAGGAGTAGGGAGGCTGAGTCAGCTGCCAGTCTGGAAAAGAGTAGCCTCTCTCTGCTGACCCTTGGCAAACATCTGTACCTCTTCCAGATGGCTTTCGTGGTGATCTCTACCTAACAGTAAAGTTACTTTTGCCCGGAGTCATTAAGAGTGTTTACAACTTGAATGACAAACAGATCATCAAGCTCTTCAGTAGGATATTCAGCTGCAGCCAGGAAGACATGGTTCGAGACCTGGAGCAGGTGGGCAAAAAGGAGTTGGATTTTTGGTTGACTGTATTCCTGTGTATAACAAGCTCCTGTGTATAAAGAGAGAGCAAACCCCACTCTCTCTGGCACTGATGACATTACCTAGTCGGGTAATGAAATGTCTGCAAGCAAACAGCCAAGCTCGGAGAGCACCAAGGGCTCTACTGCATACAACATGCCTCTTTAGAGAAAATCTCCAGCTTGGTACTCCAAGAGTGCCAGTTTGCACAGGCAATTTGTTTGGTGCTTACTAGATTCCTTTTCCTACTTGATTTTTTTACTTAAAAAGAATAATAATTTAAAAAATGGCAAACTGGCCTGTCTGCAAAACAGAGCAACAGCCTCTATTGTTATCTTTATTACCAAAATGATTTTGGACCCTAAACAAAATCCACCAGCTTTTTAGAAAATGATGGATACTTTTTTTCTTTTTGAAGAAAAAGCTGTCCAGAAAAGAAAAATAGGAATAGGAAGAAGTGTCCTATAAGAAGGGGGAGAGAGAGAAAGTGTCAAGTAGCATTTGGTTAAGTAGCTGGCTTGTAACTCTTCTTCTCCAGCAGACACATTGTGTCAGAGTCTGCAAGTTTACCCCCATCATATTCCCAAATTCTAAATGTGCCCACCATCACTCCCAAAATTGTACCATTGCTCCGAAAATTGTGCACCTCTGCTCAATCCCATTCACTTGGGGCAGCCTGCAACGTCTTAGTGATTTTTTTTTTTTGCAAATACTTTTAGCTTGACACTTCAAGCAGGTTTCGTTGATAGTTTACTAGCTAATGGCTTCTGCACATCCACTCTAGCCCTTGGGAAGAAAGGCATCTGATTTCTGAGCTGTAAAAGGCACTCAGAACTTCCATTCCCCAAAGTGGGTGATGCCAGAAAAAAAAAAAGGTTAATTACATTTAAATGTAAGTCCAGTGAAATTTCAGTCATACTCATTCAAGACTAATCAATAAAACACTCCAAATTACAAGCCAAAGACGCCTCTTCCTCTGCATGCCGCAGTGCTCTTTGCAGCTGTCTCCTTTTTTGCTTTAAATCAGGGTGATGTTTCGGAAACGGTGCGGATCTTTTTTGAGCAAAGCAGGTCTTGCCCTCCTGCTGCCAAGAGCCTTTTGACAATCCAGGAAGTTGATGAGTTCCTGACGCAGTTATCCAAACTTTCCAAAGAAGAGGAGCAACAAAACCTACTGCAAGAGATTGCACTGAGGTAAAAAAGGAAAGATTTATGATTTGAAAAGGGGGGGGTGATCAAATTGGAGCAAGTATGCATGCTTAGATGTGTGTTCAGACATTGGTTAGTGCTTCCAGAGCTTAACAGGTTCTGCTCCCATTCCCTATGATAGAGGTCCTGTTTTGGGGCAGCATAAACATACACAAAATATAAAACTAGAGGCCCAGGTTCTCAGCTGCGTATTCACATAAGCATACTGCATTTGTATGCCTCTCTATTTTTAGGTGCACCGCTAATGACCTGAAGTGCATCATTCGGCTGATTAAGCACGACTTGAAAATGAACGCTGGCGCGAAGCATGTGTAAGTTGAGATCAGGTTGAGGAGAATGTCAGAAATTTAAAAACAGAGCATGTCAGTGGTGTGAGTAAGGAGATTAAATAATTGGATAGACAAGAGGTCTGCTAATTAGTTCCAAGAACCTTTGAACTCTGATTGTCAGTCACAGTGGAAGAAAGGCGTTCCTTTCAGGCTTGGTCCAGAGACTTCCCAGAATCCATGCTGGACTAGATAGCCTTTGCAGCGTGACCTTGCAAAGCTTTTGTTATTAAAAGAGTAATTATTACTTTTCTTTAAAAGGCTGAAAGTGTTAAAATAGGGTGCCTTGAGGAACAGCCTTACACTCAAGGAGTCCCTGTCATAGAGATTCTGTTGTCTACCATAAATCGTCTCTCCAACTAAACACGCACCCTTAATAACATCTCCAGATGCTGTTGAACTAAACCTCCCACCAGCCCCAGTCAACATCACTAATAATTGGAAAGTAAATTCAAGATATTTAGACGGATGCAACTTGGAGAAATCTGTCTTAACCGAACAGGTAGAATCTAGAAGCAGTCATTTTTAAAATTTGTTTATGCATCCGTTCTTTAGATTTAAACCCAGCCCTTCCTCTAGAAAGTCAGGATAGCACACACAGCAATTCCTCCTATTTTTTTCCCCACAACAGTATCCCTTTAGGATAGGGAGAAAATGACTGGCCCAAGGTCACCTGTCAGCTTCCATGGGTAAGGATGGACTTAAACCTGAGGCTCCCCAATTCTTGTCCAGCTACACTACATTCATTCCTTTTCTAAACAATAATTATCCTGCTCTTTTCATATCCAGACTTGATGCATTGGACCCCAATGCTTTTGAGGCTTTCAAAGCATCCCGTAACCTCCATGACGTGGTGGAGCGAGTGCTGAAAAACCAGCAAGAGTCTCAGCCAGGCATGAAGAAAATTCTTAGTGTCCAGGCAGCCCTGATGACCCCAGTTCAGCCCATGCTGGTAAGGAACAACAGTTTCTCAGCTGCAGCATCAGGCTCTGGAACAACCTCTTTATCTGTGTCATCCTGTTACTTTCAGGTTTTATTGGTAGTTAAGCATGTATTTACTTAGTTTAAGCATTGATTTAGTTATAGTCTTCCTTTTTTCTGAGAGCAGAAAGGGGCCTATAAGAGACTTCTCTGATTTTACCCTGACATCAGGACTGAGAGAGAGGGATTGGCCAAAGTCACCCAGTATGCTATATGGTTGAGTGGCTACTTGAACCAAGGTCTCAGTAGTCCAAGCCCAACATCTTAATGTTTTTTTTATTCTTTTATTTGTTTGCATTGTGTCCATCACTCAGCAATTTACAAAGCAGCTGTAGAACAATATAATCAAACCTGCAGTATAAAAAAATCAAACCAAGGATAAAATGAAGAGTTCCATTGATTTTTGTTAGCTTGTCTGCCATACTTGAGAACCCTTGTATAGTCCTTTAACTATGCATTTTGGAGAGTTTACAGCTGTTGATGGTGCATTTCTAGGCCATGATCAAATTAAAGCTAATTCTCTTACTGTTCTAAAAATAGGAAAGTGAGGCTCCTCCTTGCAGTGTATTTCCTGGAAAGCAAAAATCTTGTTGATCATCTGTATTGCTTTGTCATTCAGCCTACACAGCACTGCTTACCCTACGTTGTCCCTAGTCCTAGTCTGGCATTCCCCGAAAAGCTGCTCTGCATACGTGGACAGTGTTGCCCTCTGGCATCATTTATGAGACTTATTCTTCTCTCAGACACCTATACAGAGATCTCTAAAGAGGGACCCCTCATGCATGCAGTTGTATCTGCACTGGCTTCCATCCAAACAAGAACCTGTATGTGCACAAGTCCTTGGCCATGCTGGCTAGGAATTCTGGGAATTATAGTCCAGGGTATCTGAGAGGTGCTTGGTTGGGGAGGGTTGCTCTGGGTGGGGCCATGTCTCCTTTGCCAGAAGTTATAAGCTAAGAGTTATAAACTGGATTTTTCTCTCTTCCCTATTCTGTTAAGGCCGAAGCTTGCAAATCTATTGAGTATGCCATGAAAAAGTGTCCCAATGGCATGTATGCAGAAATTAAGTATGATGGAGAGCGTGTCCAAGTGCACAAAAAGGGAGATCATTTCAGCTATTTCAGCCGCAGTCTGAAACCAGTTCTCCCTCACAAGGTTAGTGGAGTTGATGGGTTGCCTCTGGAGAAAAGTACTGGGAGTTGAAGTCCACACATTTCAAAGCTGCTGAGGTTGAGAAACAGTGGGCAAGTCTAAACTTTCTGTCTGCTTTAAGTACCATATAGTAGTTCTTTGGCCAGTGGATACGCTGAAAAATTCACAGAATATATTTGCTTGCTTGCATTTCATCAGGTGGCTCATTTTAAGGACTTCATCCCCAAGGCCTTTCCAGGAGGGCACAGTATGATCTTGGACGCTGAAGTTCTTCTGATTGACACCAGGATAGGGAAGCCTCTGCCTTTTGGGACCCTCGGGGTGCATAAGGTACATCAGAAGATGATCTCTCCCATCGCGAAAGAGATGGAGTAATCTATAGCAGCCTTTCTTTATAGTACAGGGAGTGAACAGCCTTTATTTAATAGAAAGAATGCAGTAATGAAAAGATTATGGGGAGAGAATGGAGCCCAACTTTCTCCAACATAGTTCTCCAGAGAGGTGGCTTCCAGAATTCTCATCCCACATTAGCAAAGGCTGTGGTGCTGTAGATTTATACTAGAATACATGATGTAGAAAAAATGGACACAGAGGGTTTTTTTCCCCCTTGTAATACTAGAACTGGAGTTAATTTGGTTAAAAGGCAAAATGGCCAGATTTCAGCATCACAGTTCTATGCAATAGGGAGGGTGCTTTTTAAAGGGAGGAAATTGGTTTGCCCTCTCCAATTCTGTGACTGTTTTTATAAAAAATGCAAACAAAAATAATCTGCAAGGGGTGCACAGGAGGGCCACAGGTTATCTATCCCTAGCTTAGAGCTTTGTCCCTCTCCAGAATAGAATAGCCTTGTTTGTTGCTGCTCATAAAATGATGTTACATTTCAGCTTCTTTGCTGTCCTTTTGCAGAAAGCTGCTTTCCAAGATGCCAATGTCTGCCTTTTTGTCTTTGACTGCATCTATTTCAATGATGTCAGTCTGATGGACAGGTGAGTGCATAATGAGTGCCATTCCTCCTCTCCAGCAAGATGGGCCTAGTAGAACCCTGTGTCACTATCATTGTTTCTTATATCAGCCTGAATCTGAGCAAAGAAAACCAAGGCCTATGTTTTTAGTTATATGGGTCTCTGCTCCATGTAAATCTGTGCCAGACTACATGCACCCTGTATGTTTAAACTGATTCTACACAAAGGCTCCAAACTAAATCATGGTAACTGTGTTCCCACAACCTACTTAAAGAGCTTAGATAAAGACCTAACAGGTGATTCACACAACATTCTACAGTGTGGTTTGGTTAGATGTGTATATGTATAGCTAAGCACATGCAAGCCTAGCCTGTTTGATTAACTGATGGTTCAGTGTATTGAGTGGACCCAAAAGATGGTTTGATTCAGTAACCATCTTAATCATGTTGTGTGAACATAGACATAGACATTTTCCTGAGCTACTTTGTGGTTGGTTTGGCTTAAGGTATTGTTCAAACACAGCCAGTTCTGGTTTGTAAGCCAGGATTTCTGGCTTAGCAAGTGAGTGGCAGGAGGTGCAAAGAAGTGCAAGTCATACAGTTCTACATAACCCTGACCTAAGACTTGCATTGAGTCAACATTGTCTCTGTCTGAATGAAGAGCCTCTCCTCTTCATTGCAAGAAGCTGCCCCCTTTATTTGGAGTGACCAAGAGAGAAAAAGATTGATGGGTCAAGAAAACAGAGTTGACCATGAGCCACAGAGCTGTGAAGGTATTAGCTTAACCCTTTCTAAGCAAGGAAGATACTGTCAGTTCACCTGTGCCAGGCACCACTATGTGGTCCTGTGAGTTCATGCGAAAAAAGACTGTTGGCTTGTGGTGGAATGTACAATAAGCAGAACATGGATGTTCCAGAGTATTTTAAATCTGCTGCCCATAAAGATGACCTTGGCGAAGCCATCCAGAAGCTTTTAAGAGAACAACAGTCAGTTTCCTTCTTTGACCTACCTCGTCTGTGAACACCTTAACTCCCAGAATTCCCAGCCAGCACTCTGGGAGAATGTCCAGTTGGAGATGATTATTTTTGGTCGTGGTCAACAAAGTATGTGCAAAAGTGCAGGATCTGCTTGACATTAGAATCACTAAAGGGACTTTCTCCCACCCACTTCTTTCGTCTGGTGACTTGCCCGTGTCTGTTTCCTTTAGGCCTCTGCGTGAGCGTCGCAGATTTCTCCATGATAACATGGTGGAAATCCCCAACCGAATTCTCTTTTCAGAGATGAAGCATGTCACGGTAGGTGCCATTTTGGATGGCAAAAATGAGACTTGGAGAAGCTTAAAAATGTACGCTGGAAGGTTCTCTGGATCTTCCATACATGGGTGAGCCATTGGATGCTTAACCTTCTGTGTCTCACAAAAGTTTGTGTGCTCTTGCCCAGCCTGATGCCATTCATTCATTCATTCATTCATTCATTCATTCATTCATTCATTCATTCATTCATTCATTCATTCATTCATTCATTCATTCATTCATTCATTCATTCATTCATTCATTCATTCATTCATTCATTCATTCATTCATTCATTCATTCATTCATTCATTCATTCATTCATTCATTCATTCATTCATTCATTCATTCATTCATTCATTCATTCATTCATTCATTCATTCATTCATTCATTCATTCATTTATAGAACTTATATAGCTGCCCATCTCATACAGTGATTCTAGGCAGCACACAACAAGCAATAAAAACAAAATAAAAACAACAGCACCCCTCCCCCCAGGTGCCAGACCAGCTATGAAGTGTTCTTTCCAGATTCCCCATCCTGGGGCCCTTCAGAGGTGTTGTGTACAACTCCTGTCATCTCCCAGCACACCTGGATGAGTAGAGAATGGTGTCAAGAGTAAGGGAAATACCCTTGACAGAAATATGCAAGAACTGTTACTTAAGCGAAGAGGGCTGAAACAATAAATCCTGGGAAGCAAAATAGTATTCGGAAGCGACTCAAGCAGGCTCTTCCCTGATTCACTGGGGTATAAAAAGGAGGGGAGGTAAAGAACAGTCAAGGTTGCAAGATTCTGTTGTTATAGCCAATCTCAGTATAGTATAGTTCTGGTGTTTCTGTGGAACTGATTTTCTGGTCTGGTCTGAGGAAATGGAATAGGTAGCACAATTAAGACAAATGGGCTGTAATGGGATGCTAACTCCTCTAACTTTATAATTCATGAAAGGTATGTATGCCAAACATAGGTCATAAGAGGTAGAAAGTCTTTGGTAGGGAGGGAATTTTCAAGCAAAATGAAAGAGTGCGTTTCCCCCCAGGTTATGTGGCTGGCTTGTTATCTGAAATAAAGTGGGCAATAGGCCAATTAGATTTTCTGGATAAGACTTTCAGTAACATTTAAATGTCTAGTGGGGTCCCTAATCTCAGTCCTGCCTTTGTAACTTTCTGTTTTCCTTCTTTCCAGAAAGCCTCAGACCTTGCAGACATGATCAACCGGGTCATCCGCGAAGGGCTGGAGGGATTAGTGCTGAAAGATGTGAAGGTACGTAGGCTTCTTTTTTTGCCATGCCTATTTATGCCTGCAGGCTGCAAAGTCTGTAAAACTGAAAATATGTAACTGGAAAGCATCTGCTTTCTGACTTCAGAAATGTCCTAGTGTCATCCTCCCATCCCATATTAAAGACTAATAGGCCTTGATATTGTCATGAATATATTCAGTTTCCTTTTAAAGCTATCCAGGTCAGCAACCATCCATCTTACAGTCATAAGTTCCAAAGACTGTATGTACTTTGTGAGGAACTTCCTTTTGCTTGTTCTTAATCTCCTTCTAGTCAGCTTCATTAGATGGTCCTGCTCCTGGTGTTTTGAGAGAGGGGGAAATCACCCTGTCTGCTTCCTCTATGACTTGCTTGATTTTATACACCTCAGTTACATCCCTTCTTTTTCCTAGCTCAAGATTTTCCCCATTTTCAAGCCTGTTGTTGTAGGAAAGATGTACAATCTGATCATTTTGACTGTCCTCTTCAGCATTCCTCCCAAATCTCCAAGAAAAAAGAGCTTAATCCCAGGACGATAAAAAGAAAGGGATTCTGGAGAAGCCACTTACATTCATTACCCCGACTCTGTCAAGGCATCTGGTACTGTTTCAGAGGAACTCAGAGCTAGAAAGGGCTGTAAAATAATTGTTGTTAAGTCACAAATTCCTTGTTGAAGATAAACAGACCTCTAGAAAGGGATAGAAAAGTTGTTGAAGACACAGTACATTGTTGGTTTCCCGCAGCAGGCTGATCAATTGCTGTTTTCCCAGTGGCCAGTATAAATGTGTTCAGGAGACCCCTTAGCTCCCTGAGGTCCAGATGAAGCCCTTGTTGCTAATTCCTGAGGCAATTTCCACAGATCCCCACTTAGGTAGCACTTGGAAGACCTCCCAGCCTTGATCCTGGAGAACAGCTGTGAATTGGAACAGGTGGCTTCTGTAGAGGCTGCACTTAATATTTGGGGGGGTGAAGGCCTAGAGTGAGTGGGGTATTGATGCAAAGTGGGAGACTGTGCTACAGCCAGGAACAAAAATCCCTAGGATTCTTAGGGAAGGAGTAGGGGAATTACTTCATTTTTTAGTAAGCTAAGCTTATTTTGAGAGCCAGTTTGGTGTAATGGTTAAGGCTAGAAAGTGGGAAACCGTGAGTTCTAGTCCTGCCTTAGGCACAAAGCCGGCAGGGTGACCTTGGGCCAGTCACTCTCAGCCCTAGGAAGGAAGCAGTGGCAAACCACTTCTGAAAATCTTGCCAAGAGAACTGCTCTAAGCAGTTGACAGGATTCATCACTGACTTGAGGGCACAGAATAAAATACCAGCAGATATTTGTGCATTTGTTACTTTTGTGTCTCCTTGTTGGACCTACCTTTTTGGTCATGAGCTCAAGGCAGCCTATATAGTGCTCCATCCTCCCATTTTTCTCCACAGCAGCAACCCTGTGAGGTAGGATGGGTTGAGAGAGACTGGCCCAAAGTCACTCAGTGTGTTTCTGTGGTTGAAGGTGGACTTTAACTTGGGTTTCCCCAATGGTAATCTGACATCTTAACCAATACACCGTTCCTTTTTTTAAAAAGTGACATATTTAATTCTGGATGTGATACGCTCTTGAGTGGAATTATGCAGTTTGAGGCTCCGGGATTGCATGCAACTCCCAAAAAACTTCCCAGAGTTCCTCTAAAAGCTGCTGCTGAATTGAAATTTTTGTTGTGACCAAAGAGGAAATTGGTAAAATACATAAGGAGTAATCATGAGAACCATACTGAATGTAATTTAAGTTGTCTTCTGACCTGGCTCCCCTCTTTACCTTTTCGAATGCACATACCAATTAAAGGCCTCCAAAAGTGGGCTCTGCGTAGAGAGAATGGTGCTGGCCTTCCATCTTTGGAGTCTATCTCATTCCCTTTCTGCTTTTGCTTTGGGTAGAGTATTTATGAACCAGGAAAACGCCACTGGCTCAAAGTGAAAAAGGACTATCTGAACGAGGGAGCAATGGCAGACACAGCAGACCTGGTGGTTTTGGGTGCCTTCTATGGCCAGGGGAGCAAAGGTGGGTGTCTTTAAGAATCCAGACTGAGAATCCAGACTCTTTCTTTCTAGCTCATACTGACCCGCTGTAGTTCTCCACGGTTTTAGAGGGGAGTTTTGAGATGTTGAAGTTTGAAGTAGGAACTCCTACATGTAGCTCAATAAGGAACAGAAATGCCTACATTTATGCTGAGTCAGTGTAGTCACTGTTGTTTAGAGTCACTGACTATAGCTCTCCAGGATTTCAGATTGGAATTTCTATCCTAATGGAGTTATTGGGGGTGGAACACAGGAATTTGTACATGCAGGACACATGGTTGATTATTAAAAGAGTCACCTGTTGGGGGGAGATGGGCAGCATACAAAATTAATAACAAATAAATAAATAAAAAATAAACTATGGGATGTTTTGTAATAGTAAGAGTCTAATCCTCACGGTGCTACATAAAGAACTGATTGGATTAGGGATCTGTCTCATTATAAGCCTACTTTTAGCTTAATCCTGTGTGCATTGCTTTGCAGTGGCTTTTCAGAGCCTCAGGCAGCTTTTCTCAACCTTTTAACCAATTCTCAGGAAACATCTACCTAAAAATCCAAAAAATACCAAAACTTCACAATATAATTCACTTCCAACCTACACAATGTTTAGGATAGCAAAGTGGTAGGCCAGCAACTAAGTCATGGCCAATAAAAATTCCCACCACTGAGAGTGCTAACATTGGGTGGCATGCAACGTTCAAAAAACAAAGTTTTGAGGTTGCTTCCATTGCAAATTCTGTGTGTCTTTATGAGAAGAGTTTCTGGAAGATAAAATAGATTTAACTCCCCAGATGATCCTTTTTGTCTGCCTCTCGTCGCTTTAGGTGGGATGATGTCCATCTTTCTCATGGGGTGCTATGATCCTGACAGCCAGAAGTGGTGCACAGTGACCAAATGTGCTGGTGGACATGATGATGCCACACTTGCCCGGCTGCAGAAGGAATTGGACATGGTGAAAATCAGCAAGGTTTGTGTTTGGAAGCCCCCTGTGGCTCTTGTCTTGCAGGGAAACCACCAAGTTCATGCTCTAACTTGGAAATACTATAGATAAAAGTAACTTTTTTAGCATTAAAATCTATCTTCTCCAGTATACCAAGATCCAGTTTCTTTTTCTTTTGCTCATTTGCCTATGCACACAAATATTATATTCAGATGATATTTATGTGTTTATTTATTTAATATGCCACTCATCTCCCCCAGAGGGTGACTCTGGGTGGCTCACAATT